AAAAGCCTTAGAAATCATATTTGAACCATAAATACCGAATACCAGGCAACCATGGAAACACAGGCACTGGAACAAACAGAATACGGTTAATATGCCTGGATCCTTGTGGCTACTGATCTGCTGCTGCTTACGTTCCTTCAGAAAGTAATACAAGAATCAGAATGAAGATTTTCTAAGATACTTTTAAGCTTGATCTTCAAATAAATAAATATTCTGATAATTCTTTACTAGAAAATATTTTGAAAGCAATAAATCCTGAAAGCAAAATAGGACATCCAGTCATCTCACAATTCTGCACAGTTTTCTAACTGTTAATAATTCAAATAACTTGAATTGAAACACTGGCCTGGAAAGCATAGACTGGATCACGAAATCCCACCCTCAGCTATCACAAACCATCATGTCATATATGCTTCATAATAGATCAGACTACCTGGGAAAACTGCATGGGATTTTTGTGTTTGGAAGACTATTCCAGAAACTCACTGCTGTGATGGTAACATTTTAATCTAGTTTTTGGAGCTAATTATGGTCATCTATTCTTATGCCAACATTTGCAAGAGTTTACACGTTCTTATTTTCCCTCTTTCCATGCTGGTCTCCTGCTATGTTTGTAGAAGGCAACCATCCCTGCACCGAGTGAAAAGCCAATTCTTTAAATCGCCATCATGAGACAGCCTCTGTGTTTGCTGCTCATCTTTGCAGCTGTTTTCTAAGTCTATTTTAAATAGATTATTTTTTCCCTCAAGTATAGATAACCAGAATTGTACATAAAGTTTAGTCCGTGGCAATAATAGGTCCATATACCACCTCTGTATTTCTCCTGTTCTTTTTCACAGCCACATTACAGAAGTGGCTCTCAATAATCTCATTTATAAAAAAAAAATGTTCCCATAGAAAAATACTTGATTTTAAAGACATTAATTTCATCTTCTTTCTGTTAATTTGGTTCTTTAGGTCTTCAGTTTCCCAAATTATCCCATTTTCCTTGCAGAGTACTTTAATACAGCTCTTGATGATGCCTCTCTCTTTTGTCATACTGAGAAATTTCATTCTTTCACTTACCGTAATCAGTATCTCCTATCTATCAGTTCTTCACACAGAAAAGATATATCTGTAAAAGTTAAAAAATAACCATGGTACCAGTTCCCTAAAGGGAAGTACAGTATGAGTCTCTGTTTACAAGTGCTGTATTTTGCAAATGTTGCAAATATTTTTAGAAATAATGAAATACAGTAAGTGGTATCATAAGTACAAGAAATTGTTACCATTTATAGTTCATTATTTCACTTTCACTTGAGAAAAATGTGCCTTGTTCTTGCACAAACTCAGTGGTCTGTGCTCCATATTATATAACACCAAGTTTTCAGCTCATTTCTGGAGTTAAACATTACTGTTGGTGCCTGCCGTTTGTTTACAGTCGTAAAATTTGCATGTGCTTAAATGGTTTGCTCTCCATGGACTGTACATGTACAGATTGCTGTAAGTGAGTTTAAAACTGACCCAGATGCAGTTTTGCAGCCCGTAGCTTGGTTGCATGCCTGAAATGTGCCTGGATATTCAGAAATGGTATATGGAAATGTACCCAGCTGTTGTTCTTCTCCACATTGTCCACAGTAAATATATTTTAGACTCAGTTGAATTAACTGATAATTCATTTGCCTTTGAGCTTGAAAGACATTTGCTGACAGATTATAGTTTCTTGATACAAAGAATGAATTGCATAATTAAAATTGAGTCATCTGATAAACCACAAAGAACTTATCCTCAGCAAAGAGACAGCTTGTTCCCACGCTGTGCTTCACTGCATGGGTTTCAAGTGTACACATACCTGTCAGATGTGCTTGGTAGGAGTGCAAGGCTGAGGTAAGGAGTTTCCTATTTAGATAGCAAATTTTTCTTTAGTTTCAAAGACTGAGGTTGGCTACCAAGAATCTAAGAGCTGACTTCAGTTGCCGTCTCCAAGCAGGAAGCATATTGGTGGGTGAAGCAGTAAGTTTGCTTTAAGTAATTCTGTCTTCTCCTCAGGCTAATCAAATAGATTTACTAGGAACAAGGACTCTTGATCACCCTGAGCTGTAACCTGAATTCTGAGGACATCTAGTGGTGTCAGCACACTGCAGGGACTGAGTCCTCACTGGTGGCTTCACTGGTGGCTTCCCACTTGCATCTCTGTATTTCAGCAACGCTGCCTCTGGCCTTTACAGGTTACAGAAGGCGGAATAATTGGATCCTATCTTGCGTTTTCACCTCATAAATTAACTGTAAAGTTGTGCTATTTTTTCCTCGGTTTCTTTTCTTTGACCTTGGTATTTCCACTTTGGTGCAAAAGCAAATGCAGTAAAAATAACGAGTTGAATGCACAGAAAGAACAGCATTTTTCAGCTCCGGTGATCTGGAATTCAACATTTCTAGTCCCAGATACTCAGAAGTCATGAGATCAGCTCAGAAATCATAAACTTATAAAAAAATTTTGGGTATTTTCTATTTGTCTACTGTTTTCAGGACTTCCAGAGTTAACCAGGATAAAAGTGTATTCTTTTGTTACTAAAGAGCTGATTTCTCAGGTAAATTAATAAGTCTAAAAATAAGAGTTTAAGAAAAGTACCCACTATCACAGGATGCCAAATAAATATGCAAGATCTGTTAATGCTGTCAAATTATAATTTTAGCACTGCTAACAGTTCAAGGACTTTCAGAAAGACATACTACTTTGTGATACAGGTTTTCTGCACTGAAGTGGAACTGTAGGTGTTGCCACACCTTTCTGAGAAATAACAAGAATCAATTAGCTGCAATTCAAAAGGACTTTGTTCAAGCCAAGTGATACATATCACATGTTAAGCATGACTATTGCATGATGGCCTATTTTTCAGTGAACCCTTGAGCTGATATTTCCTCCTGAGGAGAAGACAACAACATGAAGCAGAAATTGACATCATCGGTTCTAATTATTTTGCTACTTGTTCTGACTGCTGTGAGTCTGACGGGTAAGTACAACACTTCCTAAAACACTTTTTTTTTTTCTTGAAACACTTAATTTAGAAAGTCTGAGGCTTTACCCCATCTATCCTTGCCACCTCTGGAATCTGTTCATATTTGAATTAATTTCTTCTGAAGTTTCAGATGGAGATTTTGAAAATGGCTTGAGTCCTTTTTCCTTTTTATAGTATTAATTTAATAATTATATGGTAGCAATGATGAAAGGCACTCACTCCATCCCTACACTCATTCCATGCTTGTCAGCTTCTTGGGAATTCGCATCATATGAATAGTAACACTATTAGAGATAATGGCATGGAACTTTAATGAAACAAAGGCAAGCAAGCTTAGGTTGAAAAGCCACATGCTTTTCATATCAAAATGTATCTAAATTTATGGTCTGTGTTCTTGGTAGAAGCTAATGAAAAGTATCATAGAATCATAGCATCGTACAATACCAGATTGGAAGGGACAACAAGCGTCATCTGGTCCAACCTTTCTCTGCAAAAGCACAGTGCAGACAAGAGGGCTTAGCACCCTGTCTAGCTAAATCTTTAAAGTGTCCAATGTTGGGGAAGTAGTCTTAAGAGGAAATATTCTTAAGTGTACTGGGATTATTAGAGAATATTCAAATAATTAATGAATACATTCATGTTGCAAATACAAAAATACTCCATTAAGCCTATTGATTCTTTCTTTTTATTACTTAACTATAATTTACCCCGAATATGTGCGAATAGTAGAATTTTGGTTCTGTTGCAAAGTGAAAGGTGAAATTTCATTTTAACATGACCTGAAGATAAAAAAATTTGGATACATTAGAAAAAAACAAAAGGTCATACATTTACTTCCAAGCTTTTTACTTAATTTGAGTAACATTTAAGTTTAGGTAAAAATGAAATGTTCATTTGAAAAAGGGAAGTATAATAATTTTAGTAGCTATTTTAGAAGCTCGAGGTAAAATATACTTACTTTTGTGAAAGTTTTGACATGTTTTCCAGGCAGATTTATTTGCCAGATTCAGTCTATATTTTCAAATTATTTTATTGTCCTCAAAAAACCATTCCTTGCTGAATTTATCATTCAACAAAAACAAAACAAAACAAAAAACCATTGTCCAACTCTAATATAACTAGCTGGATTTCTGCACTTCCTTAGGTCAATCATACCCTGGAAAACCTAAGATAATAAGATGTCGTTCTCTAGAAAAGGAAACCTTTTCTTGTTGGTGGAAGCCTGGCTCAGATGGAGGACTTCCTACCAATTACACCCTGTTCTACAGCAAGGACAGGTAACAAGTGGTGCATATGTATTCTATAAGTGATCAAGTGATGATTATGACTAAGTAAAAGAATTATAACATTAATTTATACAAGTGCTTTTATGAATCCATCTTAAACCACAGCTACATGAGATGAATAGCTTTCTCTTGTTGGAAGAAAACATGAATACTACCAATCCTAAACCTTCAGCCTGTCCCCACTGAAACTCATCTGACTTTAAATGCCACTGGTCTAAAGACATGCTGGGGAAGGTGTAGTTTGTCCATCTTATCAAGAGGCACACAGCTTTTAGCTGAATGGCATGCTTCTCTGAGGAGGGGATCATCAAGACACCACAGGGGCTCCTGTAGGGTGGCAGGGCAGGGCCTCCATCCAGGACCCGTCTCAGTGCCCCAGCCAGAGAGCAGGGTAGGCTGGGGGCAGTCTAGCTCTAGGCATTGGGCACCTCCTTGGGGATGGAAACAGGCTGAAGCCGGGCTGGGCCTGGACATCAGCCTGTGGGTTGAGGCGGGCTCGGCAGGGACCATGGCTGGAAAGGGCAGGGCTGTAGGAAGCTGGAGACCAAGGTGGGCTACAATGGGGACCTGGGCCCCAGGCAGTGCATCGAGAGGCCCTGGGGAGGCAGGGTAGGGGTGATGAAGGCTGATGGTGCCCTCAGTGCCCTGCTGAGGAGCTTTTCCATTACCATGCACAGCAAACCCCATTTGGAGAAAATCTATAGAGTCTTTGCTTCCCCTTCTGGATTCCTGGCCAACCTCATGGTTCTCCAAAAAGCAGTAAAATCAGATGTGGGTACTGCAAGTCAAAAGATTTTGTTAGCCTTCTGGTAAAGGCTGTGACTCCCTCATCCTTTTTATGAATAAATTGTGCATGTGTGTAGCAACTTTGCTTCATCTGTGTTTCTTTGTATAACTGCCCTTTCTTCCTGAAAACAAGAGATCTCAGAACAGGGCCAAGTAAGCAGAGAGGCTCAGAGATTAAATTTCTTTGAATAAATCCAGCGAACTTCAGAATAGATCAGGTAAAGCCTCAGACTTCCCTGCTTCAATTAAATTAACTCAAAATCACTGGGTACTAATTGATCAGGAAAAATGCAGACTTTAATGAAGTTACTACACCCAGCAATGATCTGAGAGCTTTTATTTTATGAGAGTCAATATGTTTCAATCTTGAACAAAACAGAAATCTTAATTAATATTTTCAGTCATACCTATCACAGCCCACAAAAGTCCTGCTTAGGGATGCATAGGAGTACTTCTGCATTTCTTTATATGTAGTGAACACCAGGCATTGCCAGGCACTCCTGATCAAGGCCACGGTTGCCTTAGTTCATTGTCTCTCAGGTATAGGTCCCTTACTCTCAACTTTTCTTTGTGAACCAGGACAAAACTTCCTGGAAACAAAGAGACCTTGATATTAGTGGTGCATAGAGCATAACAGTGGGACTAAAGTGCATCCCTGAACTAACTCATCTGGAGCTTTAGGTTTGTGCAGTTCTTCACATCTGGGATAGATTCTGATTACATCATCCAGTTCAGCTCTAATTGAGTATAAAACAGTCCCTCTCCTGAAAAAGCCAAAAACTTGTATAAAGGTAATAGGTAAGAGATCATGAATTAATGAAATACTTTTTGTTGAGACAGTTGTGAAGATCATAATGTTAAAAAGCAGATAAATTAACATCTTGCTGAAAACAAAACAATCGATAAAACACTCCTCTGCAACAAGACTGATCAGGTTACTTTTCATGGGGAAATATGTAAAGAAAATATTTAGCAACTTTCCTTCTTTAGTCAAAGTGAATGTGTTTAGCTTGCCTTTTAATTTGCTTTTAAATGTTTTTTTAAAATTCCCTTGTGCTGTCTTGGGAAATTTCTCTTTCCATTCTTTTGTCAACATATTCCTATGTATAAAAAAGGGGATAAAAGCGTTCAACCTGAACAACAATGCATAGCAATAAAATGTTTATGGTAATAGCATTTGACACTTACCAAAATGTTACCCAGAGATGGGATTATATACAGCTTTAACGTTGTTTCATTTCCTAAACTTCTAACTTCTTAAATAATTTTATTTCAGTGAAGAAAAAATCTATGAATGTCCAGACTACCGAACATCAGGTCTCAATTCCTGCTACTTTGACAAAAATCACACTAATCCCTGGACAACATATAACATCACTGTAATGGCAACGAATGAGATTGGAAGTAACACCTCAGATCCTCAGTATGTGGATGTGACTTCCATAGGTAAAAAGGGAAGAAAGAAATGGAAAAAAAAAACCAACCTAGTTGGAGATGAATGTGGTTTTTAATCCCAGAACAATTAGTGGTGAAAGATTTCTTTCCTCTTGATGCGAAACTTGCTATGGAGGACTGCTTACCTACAGATGATCTAAAATATGCATCTTTAATTTTTGTGAATACTGCATCCTACTTGTAAATTAAGTAACTATGTACTTTGTAGTAATTTTAGCGTTGGCCAAAAATTTGGCTCCAATTTCTACTTATCTCTTGTATTTAAATTAGACTCAATGACAGGTTTGTAGGTTCATAGCACTGCAGATTATAAAACTTTCAGATTAGGTTAAGAAACCTATATTTTCCAAATGAAAATATTTTTCTGGCTGCTGGCATTGCAGTCTTAGGAGGGTAAAAATAATCGCCTGAGCACTCTGCGGGTTTTTATAGTAATTCATATTCCTAACACTATTCTACTTTCTGCATACACATAATCTACACATTGTAATGATAATTGTACTTAGTCTTTTTAGCTATGAAATATCTAACATTTTAATTTTGCAAGAATGGTTTAATGAAATCATTATTTGTATTTCTTTAGCCTGACAAATTCAGAGTAAAGTCTAAGATTTGCTGATACCATGGTAAATCAGTAGCCAGTTAAACATTACTAGGGAGAAATGGAAAAAAGGCTTTTGTACTAGTCCCTTACAGAAGTGCTGAATTATCTGAAATTAATGTGATAAAATACAAAATCATAAAGGAGGTGCCTTTTTCTGAGAGAAAATTAAATCATTAATGGCAAACTTTTCATTCATACAGTTCAGCCAGATGCTCCTGTGAACCTCTCTCTAGAAACAAAAACATCTGCTAGCATAATGTACCTTTGGACAAAATGGTCTCCACCTCCATTAGGTGATGTCAGCTCTAATTCGCATGTATATCATTATGAGCTACGACTAAAACCTGAGGAAAAGGAAGAGTGGGAGGTAATGGAAAAATATATTTATTGTGTAAATGTTCTTTTCAGTGTCTGAATTTAACTGGTACTATAAAAATTTTAATTTCTCTAAGGAGAGAAAAATTAATGTAATCAAATCTGATTACAGAAAAAAAATACTGTAGTTGTTTGTAGAGATAGTGAAATTCAAGATGCTTGTATAATTGTCCTAATGTCATATACTAAAAAAACCCTATTTAGTCCACAGATAATATATTTAGTTGTAATTTTCATCAATAAGTCTGTTCCCAAGTGCCACAGTAAGAGACTGCTCAGTTCATATAGTTTAAACCAAATCAGGATCAAAGCAGTTTATTGATTCACTAAGATGCAATTAACAAGCAATCAGTTTACTACACAGTCCAGGTCAGCATGAGCAACACAACAGATAAATCACAATACTGTGCACTGAAAAATGTTACTAGATTAATATACTTACAAATTTATAAACACACTTCTATAACTAGTCCCAGAAATATGCTACATAAGGAAATTCCCCTTTCCCAGAAATGCAGGTTAGAACCATACTCCACCCTCCTGGGAGTCCAAACCGTCATATTCACAGCCCCATCTACAGGGCACGTGGATGGTGTAACTTATTGTGAGCCCAGATCCCTCCACACCCATGGTCACATGTGTGCCCCCAGATGTGGGTTACTGCCTGCTGCAGCCCACACTGTCTGGAGTGCAGCTTCTCACAGCATCAGAGAGGGAGGCTGCTCTGTATCACCCAGGCAGAGGTCACAATGTTAGCAGAGCAGCTTCTGAGGGCATCAAACTAAACTTCAGCTTCTGCTGAAGCATCCAGTCTTTCACACCCACTATTACAATTCTTCATCCTTCTTTTCAAGCTGACATTTTTTGTTTCAAAATTCTCTCAGTTATTCCCTAATTACTATTTAACTGGGCTGAGCATCATTGTCATCATCATTATCCTCTTCCTCAACATGACCGGGTGGGGACAACCTCTCTTCAGAAAGCCTGGGGTGTCCTACTTACACATACTCTTTCTGTCGACATTCCCAGCTGTCGCAATTTTGCTAAGAGTGGGCCACAGTAGTCCCACAGATGAGACACTAGGATAAAATATGATTCTTAAAGTCTCAGTCGGATGGGCTCAATGCTACCTAATCTGTTGATGTCTTAATGGTGAAGAAGGCTTTATGTCTTGAAAGACTGAAGAAAGATTCAAAGGGTCAGAGGAAGGCACCTAATAATAAGCACTAAAACTAGCCATTAAGCAGCATTACATAGGGGGTTTATTTGCAAGCTGGACTTCCTGTAGTGTTCCTTATATTGTGGATATGATAGTGTTCTAACTTACAAGACGTCTACAACTAAATATGTTCTTGAGTATCAGAATCTCAGTGTCGGAGAAGTGAGTTTCTCTGTTAAGTCACTACCTTCACTTCTTTGTAATTCACATCTTATAAAATACCCAGCTGAAACCCTTGCCTTTCAGAAGTCAAAACCTACTCTTTTATGGTTTATATTTTAAAATGGTTCAATTATTTATTCTTTTCCAGACGATATCTGTTGGAGTGCAGACACAGTACAAAGTGATTGGGTTGCAAGCTGGGGTGAAGTATGTTGTTCAGGTTCGTTGCAAGTTAGACCTTGGAGAATGGAGTAAATGGAGCTCCAAAAGATACATTCAGATCCCCCGTGGTGAGTGGACGACTGCTGATCTGTTAACTGTCTTTAAATTTTAGCTGGTTCAGGGCTGTGAAAGGTGCCCAGATGGCAGCCCTGAAAACCCAGTTCCTCACACAGCCACTTCATAGTGCTGGAGGAACAGTTTAGAGCATCTTAGCATACTTTCTGTGTAACTGTGTATTTGTTGATCCACTCAGGATCCTCTGCTGAAACTGGCTATGACTAACAGGCTGAAATATACTAGGAAATCACTTTGGAACCATGTTTGCCTAAATAATTTATTGTTTCCATCTCTCTATTTAAAAAACATGTTGATTTCATCTGTAGCTATAGAGAACAGGTAGTGGTACTTGTGTAAGAATCATTCATTTGTCAATTAGTAACCGGACTGAAAGCACTGCCATGTCTAACAAAGCATAACACTTGCAGCTCTTATCACATGGAAACAATTACGTGTGTTTTGTTGGGTTTGAGTGGACACATTAAATATGCATGACATCATATCTTGTTGTCAGACAGTTTAGCCAGGTTGTCTCAAATCTTCTGTCACTAATTGTATTATTCAATATTTGACATGGAGATTGCTGAAGTACTGTTAATAGAAAAATATTCTTTAAATGTCCCATTTTCAGATCTGCTTTAGGCAATTAGAATTTGGAAAATCAATGTTCCTACTCTAAATAGTAGAAAGTATATATTATTGATGTAATAGAACCATATTTTGCTACAGATACATAACTGAAAAAGTTTGAATCACAGAATCACATCAGGGTTTTTACTAGCATCATCCTATTCAAAATTCAAGCATTTTCCTCTGTCCTACTCTAAGTGCTTTGCTTGAGTCTATAAAAGTATCATCAAAAATCCAAATAATTAGAAATTGCTTAACAGCAATCAGGCAAGTAGCCTGAGTACTGAGCATAACATCAATTTACAAAGAAATGTGAGAGCTGCTTCTTTGTAACTCTGGAGTCAGCTCAGCGTAGGTACTTCAGGAGACAGTTACTCGTAAACAAATGGGCAAACTCTTTATTCATTTTTTTCCTGAAAAAAAAGAAAAAGAAAAAGAAAAAGAAAAAGAAAAAGAAAAAGAAAAAGAAAAAGAAAAAGAAAAAGAAAAAGAAAAAGAAAAAGAAAAAGAAAAAGAAAAAGAAATGACAGCATAGTTTTTTAAACAATCAGAAGCATCTTAAACCACTTTTCTTTTTAGAAACAAAATGGCTTACGTAGAAAATAGATTGAATAGTAGAGTGTATTTAAAATAATTTTATAGAACCTGCTATGACAGTATTTGAGCACCCCTTATCAGATTTGGGGGCAGAAAAGAGCCACAGCCCGGAAACTAAAACGTAGTTCTTCAACACAGCTGCAGAGGGAAAGGATTTTGAATCCAGCTCAAAGTAGTAGGCTGCTGCCCTGACCACTGAACTGTCCTTCCTTTCCTATGCTAATGTAAAGCAAAACTTTTTCTTTCCACGTAGTAAAAATTATTTACCTGAGCTCTGCTGGGCATTGTTTTATGAATTCAGAGATGAGCTAATGTGTTAAACTTACTAATTAGTTCATTTCTTTCTCTCTTTCAGGAGAGTCACCTCCCGAAAAGCCTACAATAATAAAATGCCGTTCTCCAGAAAAGGAAACATTTACTTGTTGGTGGAAGCCTGGTTCAGATGGAGGACATCTTACTAACTACACTTTGCTTTACAGCAAGGAAGGGTAATAACCTGTGTATAATTATACGGTGTGTCATTGGAATGACCTTAACAGTCAATCCTGACTGGCTTTGCACTTAGAAGATGCCATTTTTCATAGCACATGGGTCTGTCCAGGTGACATATTCTGGAATGGCACTAGCAGCCACATATTTAAGGTTGAAATAAGATCTCTCTATAATTACAGGTTTTACAAATTTCTGTGAATTCTTCTGCCTCAAAAGACAGAGTGCCTTGAAAGTTGCCATGGCACAGTAACTGCATAATAGTATGCAGTACAAATGCACAGTCCTGTAGCTCTTCGGGCGTGCAGCCCCAGAAATACAGCTTTCCAAAATTACTAGAAATTAAAATTTTAATCTTCTGATAATGTTGGATTTGCACAAGTATTTATAGGCTCTGAATGCCTCCTTGCTTATGCAGTAATCTTGGTTCTGAAACTTAAATCAAGTTATAAACATTCAGTATTTTGTTTGGGTCCTGTGAACAGTTTTTGGTTCATGCAGCACTGCTCAGCCTTACACTAATCTAACTGGATGCTAAACTCTGTACTTGTCAGCTGAGAGTCAGGTCTTAGTGGAACAAGACAGATACTGGTCCACCCAGCCAGGGCAGGGTGTGAGGGCCACATTCACAGCTTTCTCTTTTGTTATTGCCTGTCTTAGAGGAGTCTGGAAACAAGTACTACATACTTAACTTTCTCTCCTATCCCTGCTTCCCTTGGGAAGCTTGGGAATGGATGTGGAGGACAACAACAAAGTAGATTTTTGAGGAACAGGTGCTGAAAGACCAAAATAGATTATGGAAGCATATTAATGTAATATGCAGAACTCATGTAAGTGTGAAATGAACATTGAAAAGACTCAGTTTTTAATAGATGGGTTAGAAGACTTCAGAAATCTCTTCTTCTGACTCCCTGGAACCTATAAGGGCTATGCAGTGGACAATGGCACTCAGAAAAGAGGAAGCTGCACTATACCAGCCCACTGCTGCATCTATACAGAATATTAGGAGTTGGAAGTGACCTTGA